TTAAAACCAGTGATGTTTTCTTCTTGAGACTTTACACCTAGCTTCTAAAAATATTGTACTATTAAATATCTAAATTGTAATCGGTATTTACAATTTTCTTAACCTACATAGTAATAAATAATAATAAAAATAATTAAAAGAAATGTTAAAACAAATACAAAAAGTTTGGTCCCTGTGGCAGTGTACCTTGATATTTGATTGTTTTGTTTAGGTTTTAATAAACAAAATTGTAATCTCCTTCTGTTTTAACTTTTAACCTTTATAAGAAGCAGGAAGAACCCTTGCGCTTGTCGTGGAAAAAACCCATTATCAGACAGCTACGCTCGCCAAAACAGCCCGAGCTATCAAGGCCCGCCATATATTCAGGGCAACATCGAGATTTAAAAAAAAACCCTGTCCATTATTAGCAACCTGATACAATTAATGTTAACTGGGGAATCGAATCTCAGACCGTTATGCCATACGACAGAATACTGTACGATTCTCAGTAATTTTTCCGCTTAAATTTTGTGTGGATATAAACAAAACAAAGAAAATTCCATTGCCAAAGAGGCCCAGCCAAGTAAGGGAAAAACGTGTTACCAAAAATTATTCACAAATTGTAATGTGACCATTTATTCACGACACGGCACACACACAGACACACTAGCGTCTGTATTATAATCGTACGATAAATAATTCGGGGTTTATCAAAGGGGCCACGTTCTTGATATCATTATGGTGACCATAAATCATTGAGATAGATGAAAATATCATTAACTTATAGGATTCATAAATTAATTTTATTTTTGCTTCAACATTAACATCGCACATGTTACAAGTACAATCAGATACTTATGAAAATGTGTTATAGAATACATATCCTATGTGTGAAAATGACATGAGAACTTAAGAAGGCGTAGCGCTAACCAGATCCATGCAACTTCCTCATAATTGAGCAGCCCGCAATACCACATCACAACTCACGAGGGGACTCTTTGTATTGAAGAAGTCGCATGGGTCCGCCAAGCACTCGCGAATATACACTGTAAATTATGTAGGAATAGAGCAAATAACTAACACAACATGGATTCTAAAACGACTCGGCGAAAGGTTTCTATGGAGTTTCTGAAAATGTCCACCGAATCATTATTCATCACAATTGTAAATCCGACACAATTACGACCGACCATTAAACGATGGGCACAAACGTTAGACAGGCAAAAAAACAAATACAACTTTTGACCTTCGGGCCGGCCCGAACTGTTCGTGGATCTCTTAAAATCGGAAGAGCAGGACCTTCCATCCTGTTAACAAGTCATACTTTACACATTTTTCGGTACTTTTTTATGGAACAGGGGGCAAACGGGCAGGCAAACATAAGGAGAGCCTTCACCTGGTGTTAAGTGATACCGCCGCCCTTGGACACTCTCAATGCCAGAGAGCTCGCGAGTACATTGCCAGTCCAAAAATTGGTACCTGACTGATGCTTATGTTGGTGGTTATTGAGCGCAGAGTTGCCCCGAGAATACGAACAGCAGTCTGTGCGTCCACCACCAGAAGGCCTGACTCCTATTTCAACGATAAATTTACGTTTATATAACTTTCTGACCTCCGCAACTTTAAATTTATTTCGTTACAACATACAAATTACTCTTGATAATATATATTCTTTAATAGTACGTCGAGGCAGAATGCTAAAACCCTTTCCATCTTGACACCTGGCATTCCTCAACACAGCGCTTTTTAAGGAACTATCTGTCGCGCACCACTTTTTTGTGGAACCAACTGCCTATGGTATTTTCAACATACGACTTATGGGCGTCCAAGAAAAGAGCGTACCATTCCCTTAAAGATCGGCAACACACCCGCTGCAGTGCCCATGGGCGGCGGATATCACTTAATTTAAGGTCTGCTTATTAACCTCCTGTCCCATAAAAATATTAGTCTAGATTTAGTTATGTTTAGGTCAGTAGAAAATTAGGCCATCTTTAAAAATCGCGTGTCCTAGAACGTCCACGTTCTAGTACGTTCAACATGCTTAACGTGTAGACACCCTACGATCGCGTCGGATAGTAAAGCCAAGGTCATACTTTACGCACACTGACAAACTATGAAATCCTTGACGTCGGTCAGAGACCCGCGGAAGTCGAATCGGCCAGTTAATTCTGACCCACGAACACCCGTACATATTCCCCTAAAAAGCCATTTTCGCAATACGCCCAATTGAGCTATGGCTCTTGCTGACTGGTCGCGGTTTTATGTCATCATGTCAGCTGGCCTTCAATTTTGATGTTTATGTAAATCACGTGGTACCATTCTATTGCTATAAGATATGCTAATACTGCTTTGTACTTTATTGCCGAGTAAAATATGTTTAAACATACTCAATTGATACCCATCATCGCTTCATATAAAACTATCGAATTGAATCATAAACAAAAATTGTATGTTTAAAGAATATCTGGTATCCCTGGTCGTGTCGGTATGTTGTAGGGCTCTGTTTTGATAGTTTCGAATGTTAATGTTGTGGTAAAAAAAAGCGCGGGTGAGTTGCCGGAGTTTAAATAATCGGTACGCTCTTCTCATGAGACATCCAAGCGTACACCACACCTGTTTAGAAGTGTTTAAAATTAATATTGAGTATTGGGGTATGAAGTCAGATATTTCTGCGTCTGATCATCTTTAAAGACTTCCGTGTCGGACATAAAAATATCTATGTCTTCCTTCACCGAACGAACATTCAATTGTCAACTTGTCCAGGACGTCATTGTATAAAGAATTAAAAGAAATATTCTCAAGATTTTTTCATTTTCATTCATGATTTTGTATATAAATACGTAAACGAGATGACGCAGTGTTGGCCTAGTGGCTTCAGCGTGCGACTCTCATCCCTGAGGTAGTAGGTTCGATTCCCGGCTGTGCCCCAATGGACTTTCTTTCTATGTGCGTATTTAACATTTGCTCAAACGGTGAAGGAAAACATCGTGAGGAAACCGAGATGTCTTAGACCCAAAAAGTCGACGGCGTGTGTCAGGCACTGGAGGCCGAACACCTACTTGCGTATTAGATTGAAAAATGATCATGAAACAGATTCAGAAATCTGAGGCCTAGACCTACTGAGGTTGTAGCGCCACTGATTATTATTAAACGAGAAGACGTAACAAATAATCTAGGTAAAAGATTTAAATTATTACTACTTTTATCGATATTTATCATACAGTTGATTCCGAAACTTATAAATAATATTCTGTTCGTAATGAATACTTGGGATTACCAGTACCATAGAGAAGGCAGAAATTAAGACCCAATAATAGTGTGTCAGTCAGGATCAGGCCGATTACCTTGACTATAAAGAAAAATCAAGGAACCAATTGAAATCTGGGACCAAAGAATAACGCTTATTTCTTTATTATTTGATGAATTTTCCTACTAATATAGTATTAGTGACAAATATTTATTAATCATAATATATACTGACCTCCAGCAGATGGGACATATGTCGAAATATTAACTTTAACATATTTGTTCTTAAGTAGATATTAACAATGTTTTTATCTAATAATTATATGTAAATCCCGCGAACTTCGTTTCGCCTTAATATGACTTTACTTAAGCTAACTTTTTGAACGTTCGCTCTCTCGAAAACTTAAACACTAAATAAAAGTAAATTTTTCAAAATTTTATCTCCATAAAACCTTTCTCAGAGTTCAAGCAATAAATTAAAAAAGCCCCGAATTGATTTGACCCAGCCGTCTTCGAATTTTGTGCGTAGCAACATTGCGATTAATTTTATTTAGATCTCTAAACGAGCGAGCGCTGTTTTTTTTAAATATTCCGATGAATTAGTTGTTACTTTTAAGTGTATACATAAACATTGAAATATATTCACCTAAAATCATTTACACGATATAAAAGCTTATAATTTTAGTCTACACGATTCAAGTCAAGTCAAGGAAATTAATTTTGTTCCAATCATGCTTACAATTTGTAAGTACTGTTGCTACTCAATTCAACAAATTCATTATGACGATAACTAACATATAAACATAATTTCTTAAATTAGTACTTCGAAAAAACGGTGTTATAAATAGTGCTTGGACTTCGCTTCTATTAATTGTTTTCTGGTTCATCTTTCTCTTTGGGTCTGAGAATGTTTCGCGATCTCACTCACCGTACGAACAAGTATTAATTGATGAATTTACTTCACTTGTGCCCCCGTCAAGACTCTTGCGTAGCCCATCTCGCAACACGAATACTGGTGTAAATACGTTGCCGTCTTTTGCGTTAAGGCCGAATCTGGGTCACACTCCCGAAACCTATCCGTGTCTTCTTTCAGTTAAGACGGCCCCACAAAGCATTTGCCAACGTTCGATGGGCCATTGTTACACGTCTATTGAGACTAATTAATTTAATTTGTCCAGAGGCGATTACATAACAGCTACCAATATTTAAAAGCAAACGATTAAAAGTCAGCTTGATTTAATGTTTCCTGTGATAGCCGTTAGAAATCTCCAAATTCAAGAATATTTAGTATATCTCGAACGAACAGGAAATGTTAAGGGTGACCACGGCATGAGATAAGCCATTGAAGTAGCCCTTATTACAAGGCAATAAGAGTTATTATTTTCAAATGATATGTCCATTCATAAAAGTGATTGAATGAATTGTTTTTATATAAATCGTTTAATTATTAAGACATGTTTGTCGAACGTTTGTTTATTGAAAACGGGCTTTCATATATTTGAAGTAATGTAAAGCGCATTAATTGATCAAATTTTAAATCTATATATTGACATAAATATTCAGTTATTTATCCAATACCAGTTTTTGTAATATTAGAAAGAAGAATCCTACACGAATACAGATGATAACAGCGCATAATTTAATGTTTCGACACTACTTACACTTAAAATACGCATAATTATATCCACCAAACAAAAGAAACTCATTTGATACACACACATAAGAATATCCATGGCATAACATCATATTAGGAGTAAAAAGTGCAATTTTGTCACTTACCTTAACACTTTCCGCCTGTTGTTCGGATGTAGACGAGCTGCCATCTTCGGATCTATCGCTTTCAATATTGCGTGGATCTCCTCATTTGACAATTTCGCTTCGTTATCAACATCTTCTTGTATTTTATCTCTGTTTACTTCCACGTCTTTTTTTATATCCTTAGATTCTGGAGTGCTGTTTGAACCTTCAGATACTACAGCTTGTTTTTTATTAGTTTCCGTCTCTTCACCTGCGGAATCTCTTTTCCTTTTACTTTGATCCCATAGCAACGCATTGGTGTCATTCATGTCCTCCACAAGGATTTTGTAAATTATGGATTCTATATAATAGTTTGTACCACCAACTATTATTGGTACTTTATTTTCCTTAGTTAATTCATCTATCTGAATGAAAGTCAAGAATTTATTTGGAGTAATAGATAATGTTAAACTGAATAGCTAATAGAAAAAAACATCCGGATAAGAATCTAGTATTACAGTAAAGAAGCTATCAATAATCAAAAGGTGGTGGCTAAGGTGTTTGGTACTTGCTACTCATAAAAGCTTAATCGGATTAAGTGGTGAATGGCCCGCAGTAATTAATGACTTGGAGGCCGGAGCTGTCAAACCTAATAAAAATAGTCTTGCCAATTAGTTGCTAGAGGATTATCATGTGTACTTCCAGATTGTATCGGCGGTAATTTAGTGGATTGATCTCATAGTTTAACCCGAACTAATCTCTATATATATAAAATTCTCGTGTCACAATGATCGTTACCATACTCCTCCGAAACGGCTCGACCGATTCTTGTGATTTTTATGAATATTCAGTAAGTCTGAGAATCGGCTACTATCTATCCTTCAAACAACTAAGTGATAAGGAGTGTCTACCTCAAAATTTTTCTTCAAACTTTAAATTTTGGATAAAAATTTTGATTTTAATTTTTTATCATGTGGCATTAAAAAATACATACAACCATAAACTTTTACGATCAGCCCTTATTTTTTATTATAGTAGATACTTATTTTTATTGAACTAAAAATTCCTAGAAACGTAGACGTTTGCCGGGTTAGCTAGTTAATTAATAAAACTATATATTAAAACAAAAACATTAGACGAAAAAGTCACAATAAAGCCACCTATTGAGAAATGTATGTATGAAAGTATTTGGAGAACAAAAAGTTACTACACGTTACTAAGCAGTTTCATTTGGGTGTACACAAGCGTATTTGTACAGCAGTGAAGCAGCCCTAGTATGTCCCACTAATAGAATTAATGACGTATTGTTCTCAATTAATGACAATATTTGATTTTGTCAGTTTGCACAAATGCTAGGCGACAATTATCTTATATAAGAGTTGTGAAAGACCCAAGTATATCTTTAATGGGATAGTAGAAAGCGTAGGGCTTATATGATTTGAAATGAAATACAAACGAACATTCCTTAAGGAAAATAAAGTCTATGTTTCACGCTGATCGTTTAGCTTTCTATTAAGTGTTCATACGGTTTTGCCTACATAAAATTTCCTTCATTATAAAGAAACAAAACGCAGTATACTTGGTTATTTTTTTCTTAAATATTGATTTATTAGTAAGGATACAATTTTCAATGCTCTATTTCTGAAGTCCACAACAGTGAAGTTCTGGTGTGGTTCTAGAATATCCAAAAGATGATGCGGAACCAGCTGCCGTTCTTGGAGGGTTGCTTTTGCTGTAACAATGTCCAGTCCCTTGTATATCTGAAACAATAAATAATATGTTACATTTAATTAGGGGCAAAGAAAAAGCGTTACTAATAATTGTGTTGTGTCAGTTCTCTCTTCCAAATATCTGATTCGGAAACATCCACAACGTGAAATCTGAATTCAATCTTATCTTAAAACCATAACAAGTTGATAAATGGCCTGAGAGTCGCAAAATTATATAATTATAGAACATTACATATTTTGACTGACTTAAATTAAGGACAGACTAACATAAGATATTGTCAATTGTCCAATTACCTAAAGTTTTTAGTTATTGTTTAAACTGACAAGAAAATAAAGTGTGTATATCATGTGTCTTTCCTATAGGGAACAATATTCCCACTGGCCTGAACGGCATGACAATTAAGATATTACATTTCGTCGCTGTAGAATGATAACCTCGTATGTCCAGAGAACGAAACATTACAGGAAACGAAATTTTTTTTCATTTCGTCAATGTTCGTCAAAATTAGTTTTGGATGTTTAAAATGACTTATTTATTAATAACATAAATAAGTCCTTACTTCATGATTATACCAGTTAAATGATATTAGAGTCTAAGATTAAAAAATAAAAGGTTTTTTGACATACGAGGTTATCATTCTGTGACGATTTGCATGATATAGGAAGAGATTATGAAACCAAAACCAAAAATTCAATAAAGCCAGCAATCCAGGGAATACAAATATCCACATCACAAAAGCGCGGGAGCTGTAATAAGCTAAAAAATATATCAAAAGACAAAGCGTGGCCCATTGCTCAAAGCCAGTTAAATAAGTCAATGTGTCGATTATGCAAATATAGGTAAAATGTATGAAATGTATGTAACAGGGGCGGATGAGAGGCTTCTGAATAATGTTAGTGGCGTATATGAATATTCATTACGCTATACAATAAATGGGAGATTAAGTGGAAATATTTATTTTAGGACTAAAGGACTGATTTATTTCAAATTTGACACACCCGTGTAACGCCAACGATTTTCTCTGTATTAAAATCGCTTTATTAGTCACGCATCAACCAGTGGCTACATGTTAAGTCTCTTAACCTCATAATTCTGTCTCTTCATTTATTTTCTCCATTCAAAAAGTCTTTTAAAGAAAAATAATGACTGAAGCCAATCAATTTTTGGTACTCGCAATGTTTTCTTGTATTCTTTTCGTAAGTTTGCTGCTGTAATAGGCGAACCAGAACTTATATTTTAAAAAAATATAAATAACTATCTGGTGGTGGTTAAAGACATATTTTCATTTAGGAACCAACTTAGTACTACCAAATGTGCAGTTGAAATAAGTGATGAAGTTTTAATGTAGTTATGGTTCACTATTTCGGCTATAATGGCTTACACATAAGATATAGATATATACTGTGGCGGGTTTTTTTGTAGGACTATTTAAGATGAACAATTCCATGATACATTACATATGTGTAATTGTTTAACTCTGGCGGTTTTGGCAGCGCACGCCAGAATAGCTCGCAGATGGTAGATTTCCTACTTACTTGATATTTTCGACAATTCACACAAGATCTTTATTTGTAGACTATGTGTTATTCTGATGTATAATCTATATTATTGTAAAGTTTCATTAAAATCCATTTAGTAGTTTTCACGTGAAAGAGTAACAAACATCCATACTTACAAACTTTCGCGTTTATAATAATAGTAGGATATAGGTTAATAATAATCAAAATAACTTGAACATCCAGCATCGCTCAGAACGTCTAGGATTCTAATTGTAGTAATGTGTAAATTGAACGTGACGACTGCAATAGAATTTTGATTTTGGCTTATTAATTACATCGCCTGGATCATATAAAAGTCACGCATTATCTTATTTACGCAGACAACCGAATGATAATTTAAGAATTCTATTATCTGGGGTCACAGGTCGCCGATTGGAGGAATGTGGACCCTTCCGTCATCCAAGATCAAAAAAGTCACCTTCAATGCATAAGATACCAATATTAAGATACTTAAATCTGTAATTGTTACAATTAAATAAGATCGAATCTATTAGAAATGTCAAAGGAACTGTTGAACTCGAAAAGGGAGAGAGCGATTGAGACCGATTGAGAGAGAGAGAGAGAGAAGGGCGAATTACCTTAAAGAAATTCTATTTTTAACATTAAAATTTCGTAAAAAGATTTGATGAAATATTAGTATTTTATATTTTATGCCCAATAATTTATTGAAATCTCAAATGATGAACTGTAAATTAAAATGCCACGTGTTTTTATTATCGAAGAAATAGATTTAAAAAATTAAATTTATAATATGTATTAATTTTCGACACTTAATATTTTAATGACAATTAAATTCGTTAATCTCCTAACATATCTACCTTTTTCCCTCCCTTTAGGTCTCGGAAATCTAAAGTTTTAGATTTGTATAAATATGAACAAGACTTAAAAATTCGTTTGCCTAAGAAGTATCACTTCTGACATGTGTACTTTGTACGCACGCACTTTTTTGTATTGTTATATATCAAATTAAAACATAATTTTATTAACAACAGTACAACTTTGATTGTTGAGAAGGTTGGCTCCCAGTGGATACCGAGAGGTCAGTGCAGGGCGTACTGGAGGGAAATGGGGGAGGCCTACGCTCAGAAATGGACCAAATAAAGAGGCTGGTGATGATGATGAATTTTACTTGAATACTAGTAACATACAGCATGAGCTGTTCCAGCTGAAATAATCTTTTTCCGATCCACTGAGGTTTTAAGTCTAAAGACAATATAGTATAAACAATAGAGCGGGCAATAAAAGCTCCCCGTGCTAATAATGATTTCTACTGTCAAAAATTATTATCGCTGATAGATCACTATACTGGATTAGATCAAAGATTTTGTATCATAATTTTCCTGCGCACTCGATAATTTTAAATCTCTTTGGGTAGATATGTCAATGATTTTTTACGCATTATAAGAATAATGCTTGATCAGTGACTTAACCAATACTTTATAGCGTTTGTATATGAGTGATAAGACATTGTAGCTTGTAAAAAGTTTGACCAACTGTTCTTCCTAAATACATTCCGTTACACCAGGCGTGTACGAAATCTGTTCATAAACGCCAGTTCGTTTGGACTATACTCAAACTCAAAATATCTTTATTCATATAGGTAAACAAGTACAGTTATGAACGCCAAAAAAGAAATGAAAAATCACCATAAAGCAAATCAATCCCAAGGATAAGGATCATTTAAGTATTCGTCAAATTTATAAAAAGTTTTATTGATTAATTTACGATTTAAATTTATTTAGTGATAATTCTCTAATTTCGCTTGGGATTTTGTTGTAAATAATAGTATATCCAGTAAACTGAATGGTTTGATGCCGTAGATAATAGTATGGCGCCTAATACATTGACGCGCGACACTTGTTACCGCCTCGTGGTTAAACACGTGACAACACTAAAATTAAATGATTTTAACAAAGCGTTAACGATCAAAATTTTCCATTTTCTATTAAATATTTGAAGGTTGGGTGCTGTTAGCTGTAAGATTGTTAAGCCATTAATTAAGTTATTATCTTCAAGTGAATATTTTGTTGGTTGTTTTGTGTGGTTCATTTATTTGAAAATAAAACCCATCAGAAATAATTGTAGTTCTGTAATTTCTTTTTCACAATTGAATGATAAACCCTGGTACAGGTGTATTTTATTTAAGAGAGTTGCTACCAAGAGTTTAATTGCCCATACAAAGCGCAGAGGTGATGAGACCTTGGAGAAACTGATCGTGGTTGGTAACACAGAAGGTAAAAGATCACGTGCCGTTCACCAACCAGATGGACCGAACAAGTGAAAGACTCATCGTCCTCAAACTGTGCCCAGTCATAAGAGAGGCGCTGGACAGAAACCAGTGGAAATAGATAGTCCGCTACTGATGTTTTCTTACTGACAACAACGCTCAGACTGAGCTGCCAACTAAAGAGAGAGAGAGACCAAGAGTTAGTACCAAATTTAACTTATTATAACTGTGTTTAAGTCATTATAGTTTTGAAATTTATTATATGATTCATTACTTTTAAAAAATTTCAAATCCATAATCAAAGGATATTGATATCGACCACGCGTTGATATAGCAGATAAATGATTATATATGTTATCTACATAGCCTTCACAAACTTAAGTCCTACTAAAATGCTATCTTCTTCCTTATCCCCATATCTCATAGTATTTACTATATCTCATTTATAGTATCCATTGTTTATCACGATTTTCAGAGCACGTGATATTGTACGAATATATATTTATTAACACTTCGTTGTATACATAAATATAATACAATTGACATACTTAAATAAAAACAGGGCAAATGGCGGCCTTATCGCTTTCGAGAAACCTCTTCCAGACAACCACTGTGAGAAAAAAAAAATCGATAAGAAGCAAGAAGTGCAAAAATACTTGAGACATGTAGTTTAGTTATTTAGACATAACTAACGGAACAAACCAAAGCAATTAAAACATATGTAAACAGTGAACGAAAGTTAGGGATACGTTGTGGACAGGTAGTGCTTGTACAGTAGAAATTTAATTCATTATTCATATTAAAATTTTCCTTGCCGCGTGTATGAATGCGATAAACTGAAGAACTTTCGAACAAATTTTGGGTTTTTACCAATATATAGTGAATATTTATATTTTGGTTTTATGGAAATTGACTAAAACATTGCCATTGTTGAAAAAGTTCTAAAAACGCAATAATCACGCGAGATGATGATGAGTGTAATATAGTTAAAGAATTTCATTCGAAATTAAAATCAAGCACTTTAATAATTAATAATGTTTTTTAAATATATTTTACGAAAAGATTAGAACTACATGTCCATTGAATTGTTTATTAGTGTGACTCGCATCCCTGATATCGTAGGTTCGAACCACGGCCATGCACCCATGGACTTGCTGTCCTTGTGCGCATTTAGCACTCGCTCATACAATGAAAACATCGTGAGTAAACCGACATACCTTAAACCCAAAATTGACAACGTGTCAGGCGCAGAAGTTTGATCGATTTGCCTATTATAAAAACAAATGAGTACGGGATATACAGAAATCTGAGGCCCACATTATAATGGTGGATTATAGCTTGAACAGATACGCTAATCTGTGTACCAGAAGTATATAAATATATGTTATACGTTGTCCTCGATACGAATAAAATTCTTCACAGTGCGTGATAATTAAAAATTTGTTCGATGTTCTGACATTGAACATAATTTTTATCAGTTACATAATACCTACAACAGATATAGTATACGTATGTAAAATAAATATCACATTACGAATTTCTGTTAAATTAAATCGTAGTTTTGATAACCGTTTTTGTTACTATGACATTAATAAACATTAATGAATCGTAAAAGACACTCAGACAATATTCTTATTTGAGGAAGAGGTATCTAACATAACCGACAAAGCTAGATTATAAAACAATGCAGAGTAAAATACTCCTTAATACAACACAATAAAGATACTATTACAATTGACGGAAATTCTAAGAAATATTGTACGGTAAGTACATAATACTAATATCGCGGAATAAAATGATACTTGAAAAATATTTTAGTATGAAAAAGAATGCCCTAATAGTCAGATGAGATTATCCTGGGAGAGAATGCCCCAAGCTACTTTGGGGGCTTTTATTCGTCTTCAAGACACGAAGCGAAGACAGCCAACTCAGTCCTTCATAAAACTACTATTCAATAAAGACCAGAACTTTCTGCCTTGTAGTTTTTGGTCAAACAACGATAAACGTCATTGGAGTAGGAACGTTGACGATAACGAACATCAAGTGATACGCACAAAAAGACACAGTTTTTTTTTATGTTTGATTGTCAGTTTAACAGGAGGCAAACGGGCAGGTGGCTCACCTAATATTAAGTGATACCCATGGACACTGACATTGCAAGGAGGCTCGCAAGTGCGTTGCTAGCCTTTTAATAAATGGTAGGCCCTTTTCTTGACCCTAAGTCAAATTGATTCGGAAATATTTCAGCTGATGGTCGCACATAGTGACTGAAAGATATCAAAATTTAAGTGGGATTGAGATAACTGCTCAGCCGTAGATAGCTCGCGATAGATCGCAGGCACTGGAACGCCAACTATTTATTTCAAAAGCATAAGGAATTTGTCAATGTATGCCAATTGTGACATAGATTGGAGCTTAAAATTCGAAGTAAACCCGCGAAGTCATGGATCGTTTAATTTAAAACAGACAAATGTTCAAAATAAAATATTGCGCAAATATTCACCTCCGTTCACCTTGAGCGCGTATCGTATGACCTATTGCGGTAGGACGGAGTCTGTGGCCAGACAAAAATGATCTCGTCTCCTCGTATAGAATAGAATATGTATCTACAGCGCGATGGGTCAGCTTTATTTGGCCGGCCGTTTATATAAGGCATTTTATCACACACTGATAGAACAGTATCGGACGACCCAGACGCGTAATAGAATTTGTGGGATATTTTGGGTTTAAACACACTTAAATTATTGATAAAATTTATTGGTATGATGTGTTAAGGCCGTATAATCTATATTATTATATACTACTAGCTGTTCGCTGCAACGCTTCGCTGTAGCACATTGTGATTGAATGGTTGAGAAATGAGAAACAAAACAAAGAAAACATTTCATATAAGTTTAATTTTGCAATACTTGTGGAAAAAAGAAAAGAAAAAAAAATAATAAAAAACAATCCTCGATGCGGATTATATATCATTTGACGACTCATTGGTCTAGTGGTTAGTACCCCTGACTGCAAATCCATGGGTCCCGGGTTCGATCCCCGGCTGAGACGAACATCGATGTGAGCATTTGGTGTTGTGCTTAGGTCTTGGGCGTTTAAATATGTATTTATATGTCTATCTATCTATAATATGTATGTATATCCGTTGCCTAGTACCCATAACACAAGCTTCACCAGCTTAGCATGGACTAGGTCTTGTGAAAAAAAAAATATCATGCTAAAATTTCAGCTCGATCGGTGCAGAACATAGTTTTTGAATCGTACACAAACCAACATAACATTTATATATTATATATTCAGGAATATATTCCATATAACAAAATTTTAATTTCTATTTAAAAATTTTTAGTGTGTCATAATAAAGTCTAATGTTTACGTAAAACAAAAAATATTTCACCGTTCACAGGAATGGAAAGGAAATCGCGAAATTTCTGCCTACTTCAATACGTGGCGATTAAAACGAGTGGCGGAAAGTTTCTTGCCAGTTCTTCTTACCCGCTCTACGCCCTTGACTTGCGAACTGGTAGTAAATGTAAATTTACAATTAATTTAACTTCTTTCTGACAATTCATAAGTGTACTTGTTTACCTACATGAATAAAGATATATTGAGTTGGAGTTTGAACATGATGCGCTTTTTTGCGTGATTATATCTTTATATAAAAATTATGAGTGCAACTAAAAATTTCAATTATTTAAACATAGGTATGCGATGAAACTTTTGATTTTAATTAATTAATTTATATTATTACAATTACTTAATACTAATACATTAGAAAACTTATTAACGCAACATTTCAACTATCACCATAATATTATGATAAGAGCGTACCAATTCTTAAAAGGCCGGTAACGCACTTGCGAGCCTACTAGCAATGTAAGTGTCCTGCGCGTTTGCCTTCGATTACATATAAAAAAAAGATATAT